AATTGAGCAGAGAAGATATAGTGCTGCATTCACCTTTTTATAGTACTGCTATTAGTGTAACATTTGAGGATTATATGCTAGCAGTATGTTTACAACATTTTGTGCATTGCTTGCTTCTGCATTCTGTCTTAAACCATTTCCTTGCTTTCCATGTTTTGGCATGTTAGAGAATTAAACTTCTTTATGTGCAGGTGGAGTCATATTTGCGTATAATTGGTGAGACAAAGCTTCATCTGTATTTCTTCTGGTACATTCTGTCCTCTCAGTTCTTTTCTTCATGTAGAAATTTTGGGAAGAATATTCCTGCCAGAGGCATATTCAAATGATGAATCCGTCAAGGTATCCCTCAAACTCAGTTTTTGGAGGAATAGGCGTATTCAAATATCAGTGGGAAGTTTGTAATTTTTCAGACTTTAATTGGAAGGAATTTTCCATGCTTCTTAAATTTGGTAATGAGGTCAGGGAATAATTGTTTAAGATGCATATAAGGGCAGTTTCATTTACTTTCCCAATTTTCGTTATTTCAATGACCTCATGTAGAACCACTACTACAATAATATAAAACAACGGTACATGACGCAAAATGAAAAAACCGTTGTGGTTTAAAAAACCATTAAAAACCATGATTGGTGTTATAATAACCATTGTTGTGGAGTCCGAAACCCTTAGTTGATTTTAATAGCACGACGGTTGAAAGAAGTCACCGTCGTCTTTGAAATTAGTTGATTTTAATAGCACGACAGTTGAAAGAAGTCACGGTCGTCTTTCCAAGACGGGCTAATAAAGTTTTCGCTTAAGTGAATCTGCGGCCCTTCGTGATCCCCTCTAGTTCGTATCTTTTCAATCTATGTCCTAAAGCTCCTGATAATTGTGAAGCTTCAAAACCATAGCCTCCTTTCTTTTGAAATTCTCGGCCCTTCGTGCTCTTTATTTTGTGGATCTCGTTGAACCTGTCCTTCTTTAGAAATAATAGACTACAGTTCTTTTCAGAAAAACCGTTGTCTTTACAGTTAATAGACAAGACAACGGTTTGTAGTAAAAGCGTCGTTTTTACATTTAATAGACAATGGTGCACCATCATAGTTTGTCATTCAAAAGATGTCAGATATAACGACGGTTTTAATGCAAAAAGATGACGGTTTTTCCCCATCGTCTATTTCAATTTTTGTAGGAATGAACAAAACTCTTTAGCCTGCCTAAACTACACATAAAGCTTATGCACATCAAACACACTTCCTCACATGTAAAGAAAATTATGCTGGGGAATCGTCCAGATGTGACCCATATGCATGTGGGCCCCCAAAGGAAGCCCCGCACAGGGCCATATTAGCTCAGTGCTGGTGTCAAATCATAATTCTAAAAATTTGTTTCTTAAGAATTGGGATTAAAAGATAATTTTAAGTACAAATTTTCTTGGATTGGAATCAGCAGGGTCTTGGTGTAGTTATAGAAACATGAGAGGGTTGGGCACAATATTTTGTTTTTTCCATTTGCTTAAGAAGCAAACAACCATAAATTCCATATTTTAAGAGTATTTCACCGGCTTGAACTTTTCTTCTATCATTTTTTATTTTCGGTTATCTATTCAGAAAAAAAGCACCATTTGTATTTGTGTGTAGATTTGTATCTTACTTGTTCAAACTGAAGTGCGCCTGTTCTTCTTTTGAAAATATATACCTTTGAAATTTCAGCTCAGAGAGAAGTGGATATCCTACCTGAGGTGCATATAATGAAGATGGAAGTTTGCTGCACTAGTTGGCTATCAAGGTGCCATCTTCTAAAACTTTGCTGCTGTAGGGGTTGGTAAAGTCATGGAAGTTACTGTTTTACCCTCACTTTGGTCTAGGGTGATAAAAAATTGCTCCAGGTTTGTTCAGTATAACCTAATTTTTGCATAATTGAATCAGTTGTTTTTCTACGGGTGGTTTTATTTTCTTCTAGTTTCCTGCTGAAAAATGAGGTATAGGGTTGTATTTGTTGCAGAGTGTGGCTTATGTAGGAATATAACCAAGTTAGTGATGCTTGAATATGTTGTTTTGAGCCAATTCAGTGGGGAGCTTTTTATTTGCGGCAATGTGGGCGGTTTGGAGCGCTCCATGGATGCCGTGCATATTTGTCTGCATCTACACTGCTGTGTACCGCTCCCTTCTTATAATAATTCTGTATGAAGTGAATTTTCGTTTTTGTTGTAGGGACATTTATTCCTGTCATAAGTTTTACTTGGTGTCAGTTCACATTGTAAGTTCTAGTTTTACTTGGTGGATAAAATTGAACATTCGACATCTGTAGTAGCTATCCGGTCATGCAATGACAATAATAATGCGCTTTCGTGAACAAAGAATGAAGTTGTAATTCCTGGCCTTTTTTTCTAGTTTCTAAAGCCAAATTCTTTTTGGGTAAATGGAGCTATTGGAGATGTTAGCTCTACCAGGGCTGTTCAAACAGCAACTGGTATTTAAAGAACCAAAATCCATTTGCAATCTAGACAGGAGTTCGAAAACTACAAAATACGGATGATACTATGGCTTCCCATCAAACTTTTCATCTTGCAATTTCAATTCCAAATCCCATTTCGTGTCTTTTGCATTATTATCAAAAATCCTGAGTTGCAGCAACTTCACATGATTTAGACGTGCTGGGATTCTTGTACCTTGCCAATACCAGCAACAGCACTAGCATAATGCGACATAATCTTTCAATAGAAATATGTTGGAGATATTTGGATGCCTGTTTACAATTAATGTCTGATTTTCAATAAACCTTGATTGGAAATTATGAAATAGATAAATCTGTTACATTTTGTCCCCAACATACATCAATTCCAGTGAATGAGATAGAAGAATCATAGACAAAATATATGTGTGGAATGAAAGCATTAAATAAATCCGGCTTTGTTCATTCGCGGATAAATGCTGGATGCATCAATTGAGTATTGCCTTGTGCAACTTAAAATGGAATCTTAGAAATTGCTGGCGCCACAACACACCTCTTGATTACCAGACCATTGCTGGAAATTGGGTTCGTTTCGACAGCTGAACCTGGGGCTCACATAAACCACTTTGGAGCTTCATTGCCTGAAAATTTAATATGGAATATAGACGCTAAGAAAAAGGATTTAACCCAAAACAAAAAGAAAAAAAAAACTCACACCCTGAAAACTACAACATATACCCCAGAGATGCACAGCAAAATATTGCTAAATTTGAATTGAACACAAAACGCAGATATCATTCAAAATTTAATGGATTTGCATACTTTGACTCCTCTTTTGGTGATCCGCTGGTCCCGTAAACAAGGCAAGCCATTGAGCTCCATGATCACCAATGTCGACGACGTTAGCACGATGATCATCGTGAAGTGCCATGTAATCTGATTGGCGAGGCCTCTTGCCAAGACTAGTCTTTGATGCTAAAGACAAGGAAAGCAATTCACAGTCTTGGTGTTGATCATCATAAATATCATCGTCCACTGCCATCGCATCAGGTAACAACAACTGCGTTGGCCCATGATCAACAACATCAGTCTCACTGACATCAGCAACCTGGTGGCCTAATAGGTGGACCCCGCAGGGAATTTTAACGGGTGCTGGCACTTTGCCAGACAAGTCAAGTATAACTTGACACGTATCACCCTGCTTCGTCAATGGTTCTTCAAACTCGTACGCGTACCTTTTCAATAATGGAATAGACGTGAGGTACACATGACTTTCCAATAATCCAAAATCTCTCTCATTTACGAGTTTTCCATTGAGAAGAATCTTGGCAATTCCAGGAGTAACAGCACATAGAACCAATCTTAACGTCCCCCATTTTAAATTTGGAGGAATTTCAAAACTAACTTCACATCCGGCATCGTATCTCTTTGTTCCACTCAAATATTTTCTAACTATTGTTGCATCTTTACAACAGCTGAACCACTTTGGAACTTCATCGCCTGGAAGAATAATGTTGAAATCAGAATGCGGAGAAGAAACAGAAACCTGATTCAGAAAAATATTTTCTGTGATGTCGTAGCTGCGTAGTCTAACGCAATTGGTCAAACTCAGTTGCAAATAATCCGCCAGTGAGATTTCTTGAAATTTCTCCAATGATGTGCAGTTATCCAGCAATACCCAAGCCATTGGAATTTTTACCAATGATGTGCAGTTATCCAGTGATACGAATTCTACTCTTCGTGGAAGCACTTGTTCTGGAATTTCCAGAAGACTCTTGCAATAACTCAAGTCAAGACTCAGCAAGTTGACAAATTTGCTAAAGCATCTCGGAAGATTGATAAAATTGTTTCCCGATAGATCAAGTTCTCTTAATGTGTACCAGCAATCAGGGGGCAGGAGGGAATCACTTTTTGATAGGTTGGGAAGCAGTGGTAATTCGGAGTTGCTGGATGAAACTTGAGAGTTCACTTTTTGACAGGTAAGGTTCTCACAATAGTTAGCTTTAAAGTGATAAATCCCAGTAAGATATGCAATTGACGAAGGCAATTCTCTTACGCCACTTCCTGATATGTTCAAAGTGTCTAGTGATTCCATCTCAACTTCTATTTCTGGGAAACTCTCAAGCTTTTCGCAAGCACCAAGATCAAGTACTTCAAGAGATTTCAATCTAAGTGTTGCAAACCTTGTAAGATTGAAGCATCCATAAAGATTCAATTCTCGAAGCCCAGTAAGATATGCAATTGATGGATGCAATTCTCTTATGCCACTTCCTTCCATATTCAATCTCCATAGTGATTCCATCTCAACTTCTATTTCTGGGAAACTCTCAAGCTTTTCGCAATCACCAAGATCAAGTACTTCAAGAGATTTCAATCTAAGTGTTGTTGCAAACCTTGTAAGATTGAAGCATCCACCAAGATCCAATTCAACAAGTTTATCAAGGAATCCAACAGAACCATCGACATCAAACAAAAGTAGTATTCGTGGGACTTTGGTATGTTTGCTAGACTGCTGCTCGGTACTAGATTGTCCTTTGTCCTTCTTTATTTATGTTTGGTCTGGCTGGGGTTTCCCGCCTCTGTTTGTTGTTCTGCCTCTCCCCTTTTGTGGGTTTCTATTGAATTCCATTTTCGACCAAAAAAAAACCTAGATTCAAGTACTTTATATTTGGGATTCCGGATAAGTCGGGGATTTTTTCTAAGAATTGACAACCCCTCAAATTCATAGATGTCAACTTAGACAAATGCTGTGAGACAAGAACACAAAAACAGGAATAATTAATCACACGCTTCAAAAGACAAAAACTTAGAAAACAATTTTTTCAATTTTTTCCTTCTGAAATTAACAACTATATTTGAAATTATATATAATGAATGGAAATAATTTCAAATGCATACCTTAAATCCATCCAATTGTTTTATATGACTGCGAGGCATATTGAACACAACAAGACGATTTCCTTGAAAATTGGGTGGCAAAGATTGTAACTGACATCTATCCCAATCAATCAATCTTAAGGCATTGGGCAGATAGTTAATGTGCCCACATAGAGGTGCATTACGGTTTATGAAAATTTCAAGATTTACCATATTACGGAAGCATTCTGGATTTAAGGTTATCTCCGCTGGGTCTGGAAGCTTCACCATGATGCCTTTAATATTTCTTGTTCCCTAAGATAGAAAAGCATTAACATTAAAAAACGAAGTCATTTTACAAACCAAAATGCAAGCACATTTTGTTAAGAAAATTATATAGGTTACATAAGGTATTCTTTATTGTCAAATTGAATATAATAACACATGTGATACTTACTGTACTTTCCATTAGAACTTGTTCAACATCCTCGTAAAACCACAATCTACTACGCTTGCCGGGATCATTGGGGGATTCTTCATGAACTATATCCTTGCCCAGTTTTTCTAGTAAATCATGCATCTGAATCCCACCATAGTCAATAGTTATCATTGCCTTCTCAATGAGTACTTCAATACAATCTAGGGAGACCTTGTTCTTTGAATTGCTTACTATTTGTAGAACGTAGTCCTTATCTTCACCCTTGAAGAAACATGCGATATCTAGAAAAAATTGTTGCATGGAATTTTCCAAGGCATCATAACTTTTTCGAAGTATTTTTTGAATACCTGTATATGGTTCTCCTTCATAACTATCTAATATATCTTGCCAACGATCTTTGTCTTTATTAC